CCCAAGGTGTTGGAGAGAGAAGCATTTCAGATTCCTTTTCATTATAGGCACAATATTTAGACATGTTGCAAAAATTTGGTTCCTGATTGGCATTGTTTTCCGAGCTTTTCCCCAGCCACGCGTTCAAAGTCGAGAACACAAATGGAACAAAGTTGGGAGTTCCAACTTGCAAATTGAACAGGATTGGTTACCCTGGCTCTAGGAGTGCAATTACCGTTAAGGCCTTAGGCCAGGTAATCAAAAACACTGTCAAGCTCTGCATATTTTATCCATGCAGCGCTGGCCCGTTTGTTTTGCGGAATGAGCTTGTGGTTCTTCAGGTTTCGCTTCAAAGTATCCCTAGCTTTTTTTCGCACATCGCCCTGATGACGAGTTCTCAATCGAGACATTGCCTTCCCAAACCTAAGAGGGCATCCCCAACACTATGGCAGGCTTGGTGGATGTGCCTTGTGGACACTACTACGAAGAAGCCAGGGTCCCCAGCTTGATGGATTTCCCTATTTGGGGGATAGCAACATAGCATACCCATTTGAAACACAAGTGCACCTGTAAGTTGTGGGATAGAAATCCTTTATGTGGTGACATGCAAAAGACAATCAATTGGTACTAGGGACGGCAAGGGGTATGATTGGCTGCTTTTCAACTGAGATCCACCTTTCACCCTCTCCTTGCCGCTCCCGTCCACATACTTCACCACCATTTCGGCCGCTGGTATCTCTGGTAACCATTTTGGTTTGAAGCAAGGCAGCTCGTTGATGATTTCCTCACCTCATGCCAGTTGGAAAGGGTTACGCAGGTGTAAGGATTCAATAATGCTTTTGTTCTTTGGGATCGACATAGCCATTCCTCACAATGGGATCCACATGCTTACTCAAAACGAATTGTCTAACAACAGATTTCTTGAATGGAGCTAGTCAAACAGATTGATAGATTCTTGTGAACAGAGAAAACATCTTGCAGTCTACTAGCTTGGAATCAAGTTGCTTGCATAGAGCCACGTGGGTTTCTGGGATGCAGCACCATAGTCTCTCATGTTGAAGCAATGCTTCCAAGTAGGGATTTTCTTCAGGAATTGCTGGAAAACTGGCAGCTCTTCCATGAGTGACCCTTTTGGTTGTTCTAAACACCAAAAGCATCCAAGGGCGTGACAAATCATCATGATAATCAATGTTCTGGCCGTAAGTACGTTTCCAGCCCTCACGCTTTGGTATCTCTCTTCTCCCATTGGCCTGCTGGAACTTCTTCGAGAAGTGCCTCTATTCCTTAAGTTGCGATATGGTTGGATGGACCAAGGAACCTTGGTTAGTGGCTGATATATGATATCAATTCTATATCTACTTATATATATATATACATATGTATGTATGTATGTATGTATGTATGTATGTATGTTTGTTTGTTTGTTTGTTTCTTTGTTTGTTTGTTTCTTTGTTTCTTTGTTTCTTTGTTTCTTTGTTTCTTTGTCTCTTTGTCTCTTTGTCTCTTTGTTTCTTTGTTTCTTTGTTTCTTTGTTTCTTATGTATGTATGTGTGTTTGCATGTTTTTGCATATGTATATGTATATGTGTATATGTGTAAATGTATGTATGCATGTATGTATGTATGCATGCATGTATGTATGTATGTATGTATGTAGGTAGGTATGTATGTATGCATGTGAAAAACAAAATATAAACCATAGTCCTTTTGGGGAGTCGAAGATGGGACAATCCGTGGTTATGCTTCCAAACAAATATCATCCTTCAACTTTGAAATTATTGACTCCACGGGCCATCCCAATATCACAGGTCTAGGATCACGAACACAAAGCTACTGCACACTGGTGCAGCAAGCGCGCCGCTCCCAGGCTCGAGTCTGCATGCGTGATAGATTGCTCCAAGGAATCCTTGGGGGGAGAGTAGGTCCATGTTGCTTCCACCAAAGGCGATGTCCATGGCCATAACTTTTCGGCCTTCCTGCAGGGATGGGAAAGTTTTACTTTCTTCTACCGTAATGATTTTGAACTTTGAAGTTTAGCTGAAGGTGGGAATGAAGCAATGTTTGGGCAAACCCCGGTCCCATTGTTCAGCCCGGGATACAGCGCAATCCCCAGCAAAAAGCTCAAGGTGTTGAAGCTGGTTTGAAGGGCTGAAGTCCAAGAACGACATGCCAAACACCATGCTGACAAGCATCGCAACCACCTTGCTTTCAGAGAGGTATAGGAATTTGGGGGACCCTTCATGCAGGTAACGTGTTCTCCAAAACAAAAAGGTACAACTATGTAATAGTTGAACCTATTTCCGGGGAACCCCCTTCTATGGGACTAGGCTTGGTTCTTCTGCTAATCCTTGGCATCACTTTTCCCACATAATCAATTCCATAATATTTTTGGGGGCCATCCAGAAACTATCTCGTGTGATACTGCGTCATTCCAGAAGCAACCGATATGATAGCATATCTCCTAATACCATCCCCATTGATTGTTGGCATTCCGTGATGGGTTATCCAGAAAGCATCCCCTATGATAAAGGGCAATCCCAGTACATAGGTATATAACCATTTTTTAATTGTTGATACATACATATATATATATTCATTTTATGACATATATATATATTCATTTATGACGTGTGTATATATATTTTTTACTTATATTGACATGTATTTATACATATATGATTTGTACAAATATATGATATGTATGTATATAGTATATATGATATGTATGTATTTATATTTATATTTATATGCATGGTAAAAATAATATATATATATATACATATAAAGGTATACATAGCCACATAGCCACTATTTGATATATAACACACACAGATATGTATATATATATATATTGCATATACCATTGTAATTTTTTACCAGGGCATCCGACCCCCCTTTGGTCAAGCCACAGCCGGTGCCTTCATTGTGCGAAGGCCTGCCAAGATGCTCCTCTTTTTGATTTCCTTGAAGTTCATCTTTTTGCGAGGCCGGTCAAAGGAAGGGGTCTGACTGAGGGAGTCTTTGTAGACGCGCTCTTTGGTAGGAACCCTTTTTCCCATAGCTCACAACTATAATTCAAAGACCAAAAGCAATGAAGCGATGGGGCAAAGAAGGGTCTCAGAAACTCGAACCAGAAATTCACTGCAATATTTAGATATCTATTCAATGTGCACAAACAATCATGTGATTCTGTCTTGGGTCCCCGTGAATGCTTGATCTCTATTTCCTCACATGATCACCAAATGCTTCGGCTAGCCATCCTAACATAGACTGCACCATGGTGCTTTGCACCAACCAAACCCAGCACTAGAGCTGATGTAGCCCAGTGAACTGCCCACTACTTCATGCGAGGGCAAGCACCCTTCCACAAGACACTGAACCATTTGAATGCTCTCGGATTCTTGAGACATCAAACATTAGACATTGGAGCTGGAAAGGATCTCTAAGCCACCCCCATGCATGACAAATCACCATATAATCTAAATAGGAACCTTGGAACCCGACTGCAACAAGCCAGCTGGGCTTGTGATCAGGAACCACCTTTAACTTTCAAAAACAGTTGGACCGCTATGGGAGCACCCCCGCTTTGGTGCATGCGGAGATCCAAGCGTCTTTAATTGTCGGGAATTTGCTCCATGTGATCTGGCCCTTGTTCGAACCTGACTTGATGTAAAAGGCTTTCGATCGAAGCAGAACCTCAATCCTGCTCGCTCCACGGTGGACCGTGTAGCTGTGCGCACCCTTGTTGTTGCCAGACGGCAACGCATTCTTCGGCAATCCTTTCAGCGAATACCCATTGTACGAGCGTCCCTCCTAAGGGGCAGTGGTTCGGGGTGGGGGGTGTCCCATTCCTTTGACTAAATGTTCCTTTGCATTGATGAAGAACATGTTTGTTCCATTTCTTCACATAGAATATCATAAAAGCATAATGATACTGGCATGTCCTGCCCATGAAATTTACAAGTACAGGCTGGAACTTATTGTTGTTATTTTCCATGGCCAAATCCTAGTGTACCACAAACATTTTTTTGGGCCAGATAGCCTCAGATTCACTCTGTGGTTCATCAGGGCTGGCATGAGGAACAACAGCTTCTTCTTCTTCACCCCCATCATCCCCCACGGATGGCTCTCCACGGGGACGCTTCTTATGGGACCTGCGAAAAGAAGCCTTGTTCTTCTTGCCTTTCTTCACCTTGTTCTTCTTAGCAGCGCTCTTGGGCTTCTTCTCATTTCCCTGAAGGGGCGTCGGGTAAATTATATAAGGACAACAAAATGGCATATGCACCATACTGGAGATTTTACTGCTCATATATTCTACAAGTCATTGGTGAGGGCCAGGTTCAAAGTTACTTCAAGTATTTCCCATGAGCTAGGGGTTTAAGTACAAACAAAATGTTGGGAATCGATGGCCTGCGCTCCAACCACTGGGGGTGATGCGCTGAGAAGTTCAATTTCAACTCGCCCCATCCAGTTCGGTTTCTGCAATGAGGGAGGTAATTTGATGGTGTCAAGTGTCACAACAGATCTCCGATCCTTGTCTTCGGTGTCCTCCGTCATCCCCAAAATGTCGTGGATCGATGCAGCACCATCTTTGGCCTGAGGAAAGGTTTGCTGGCCAAAGTTACAATGCGGAAACCCATGTTTGGAAGTCTAAGATGTAGATAGAGGCTTACAATATTCACACATTCCTCGCCTACAAGAACCGATGGTTTCTATTAAAACAAAATGTATTTTGTATATTTAATAGTTATGTCAAAACAGTTATGTGTATTTCAAAAACACATTTAACACACGCGATCACTTCTTACTCGGAGAGTTTTCAATGGGCATGTTTTCCCAACTTAGAGCTATGAGTTATGACCATAGCTTGAAACAGTTGTACCTTATACTGTGCGGTACCCACTTTGGATTTGAAGCCCATCACGTCACTTCTCAGACCTCCTGACAGGCCATGCTGCAAGTTTCTGCTGCCGAGTCGCATGGGGAGAAGGCTTGGCATCCTGCATTTTCAAGAGCCGCCTCGCCTTGGATTGGTTTGATGTTGGAAGAACGATCTGTGAAATGGGTGTGAGATGAAAGCCATTGCAAAACAAGGTGAAGATTCCGTTACCTATTCAACTCTTGACCTTAAACTTTTAAAACCTTGAAGCCTTGACCATAAAATTGCGACGGGATTTCAAAGCCACCAAGATACATTGGGATCCTCGGGATACTCAGACTCCAAAACATGGGGCTCCAGGTCTGCAGTAGACGCTCCACGCTTCAAGGCCTTTGGGGCGAGTTCTTGGTTCAACGATAAACTACTCATAAAACTTCATTGGGCCCTACATACAGAAATTCATTCTTATGGGGGCAAACAAAAGCCCCAACGGAAATCAACATTTTAGGGTTTGGAAAGTGAAACATTAATGCATTGGTACTAGGGGCTGGCGGTTCCATAGGCTCACTCTTCGGGTTCTTAGAAGTGTCCCTGCGAAAGTAGGCTTCCATGTCCACATCCTGAGAAGATTGGATGGTTGGATCTTGATTTCAAAAAACATACCTATATTCATCCCTAGAAAAAGTGTTACCCCAAAAAATAGTGCCAAATAAATTCCCAGCATCGATGCTGTCAAGGAATTCACGGAGTTTCGGATCGGTAGGGTCCTTGGGAAAGTGGAACTGATGGAAATTAATCAAGTCAACACTACTGGGTGGAATTGATCTGAAACATGCGCCTAGAATCAAACTTATTTTGATTATAACCCAACCTGGGGGTTATACCCAAGGCTTACCTATATATATATATATACACATACATATATATATATATACATACATATATATCATATATAATAGAATATATATATATATGATCTTATATATATAATATAATATTTGTTTAATATCTATATATATATGATATTATATATAATATAATGTATAATATAATATTTATTTAATATATATAATATAATATTCATTTAATATATATATAATATACATGTATATATATATATACCCCAAGTAAAACTGTTTTGACAGACTGGTTGTGCCACGGTTTTGAAAGTTCCAACTTGGCCCAAATCCAAGAAGCAAGTGCGCCGTGGCCATTCTTGTGAGTCTTGCGAATCTTTGTCGAAGAGCCACAATCCTGCCGGCACGCGCTTAGATTTTATTACAGAAACTACCTCGAACCTTTTATTGTCTTTTGGAGGTGGGAAAGCGAGGAACAATTTAAAGGTCACAGAACCTATAGCCAAGCAGCCACCGCATCAGTAGTAGCAGCACGCTTTGGAGGGGTCACCAGGTTCTCACCATCATCCACTCCTGCATTCTCAGCCTCATGGTCGCTCGGAACATCAGCCAAGGGAGCAATGTCATCACCCAGAACCAAAGTCGTGCCATTGTCCACAGAGTTCTCGCCAGACTCAGCGTCACCCTCATCACTCTCATCACTGCTAGATGCCAGGGGGTACTTCTCCGGGTAAATGCCAAGCTGATTGTCAGGATGCATTTCTGGGTTGAAGGCAGGGTCAATCACCACCTCAACATCATCGCTTCCCTCACCATCACTCTCGTCAGACTCCTGCGCGTCCGTACTAGCAACATCATCATCACCATGTTCATCTCTGTCAGAGACATTGCCATCATCAAGTGGTGCATCGGACTCATGCTCAGAAGCTTCGCGATCAGCCTGGGGACTCTTACATATGGATACATATGGGAAATTTCTCGTTGGTCAACCCTGCTATGTATTGTTGGTCAAACCCGCTTCAAAACAAATGCGTTTGACAAAATCCCCACCTCCCCATCAGCGACAGCATCAGGCAAGCCCTCCACCCGCACTGCAAACTGCATCGCTCGCGCACGCCTGGCCTATAGGGATGACACAGGCAACACATAGAAAAACAAAGGTTGCGGCAAATCAAACAGGTTGCCAAAAAAAATCTTGTAAGATACAGCTGAACTTGACCCCAACAAGAAACTCTGGACATCGGAGATGGTCTCAGAAGGCTTTTCAGTTCTGTGACGCGAGGGTGGTGGCTCGTCAAGCCTCGTTTGCACGTATGGAAGTTGCTGACATGTGTGACCACATTTTTTTTTGGAACGCCAAGATTGCAAAACAAAGCACAACAAAAATACAACAAAAACAAAACCTTTGGAAATTGACATGGATCTAATCTGATAAGAAGACACTGTTGCGATAGAGATATCGCAATGCCCCCATAAGCTTCTTGCAGCGGCCGGCTTCCGTGGCTGCTTGGTTCACCTTCGGGACATCTTTCAGCACGAGAAGCTTGAAGCCAAGTAGCCTGTCAAGATACAGCCAAATGTCCGTCAACAGGATACCTCCTGGGACGACCTCTGGAAAACTCTCTGCAAGGGGTCGGATCCAAACGTAGTTCGCCGCTAAGTCCTAGTGCAAAAGGTCTTTACGCGTTTGCCACGCCAATTCCCACATTTTTTAGTTGCGCCCCTATATCAATCAATACACATCCAACGTTGACTTGATCATGTGTTTTGAGAAAATGGGTCCTTGAAGCTGGGTCGGTGGATGTCAGAAGCTAGCATCACCAACTGCGACCCACCAAAGTCTCCGTCAAAGATGATCTGCTTGGCACGGTCAGGCATGGAGGCCAACATCTTGCGAGCCACACCAGCCTGGGAAGAGGCAGCCAACCCGGTGGCTGGTTTTGATTTTTGGGGACATGAAAGAACTGTTTGTTTTGAACTGGCACCAGGTGGTTGTCTAATGTTTTTGAATCATTGAATCAAGGAAAATGTGGGGAATGGAAGAATATAGTTGTGCTTTGAACGGTTTTTTTGGCATGTCATAATCTTCAAAAAGAAAAATGAAATAGTAGTGCAGTCTAGCCACCACAAATGACTCAGTCCAAGGAACTGTACCAGGGCCTTACACGAATGGTTTCCACTTGGGATCATCGATTATAAGTGCAATATCCATTTTGGTGGCAAACCTATTCAAAAATTATACGTATATGTTCATGGCGAGGTACGCACTGATTTCCAAGACCCACCATGTAGTCCTAACTCATCCTGTAGTTCAGCACGAGCTGCATCAGCTGCCACATGGGGAGCAGCCATCGCCCTCTCACAAGCTATGGCACTTCCTAAAAGCGATTTCCAACACCTACGGGGCCAAATGCCTGTGGTGCAGATGACAAGCGTCACCCTCCAAAAGTACACAAGCCCTGCATGCCATTGTGGGAAAATTGTTTTGTTGTAAATAAGTCCGTCAGTTGATCTTATAGACAATATGTTACGGCCCCAGACCCAAATCATGCATGTAGCACGTATTGATCCATGTGATATTTACCATCGCACCCCAGCTTGACCTGCCCACTGTGTCTAGCTGCACCTTCCACGTGTCTTCCCCTGCAGGATTTGAGCTTGAAGCAGCCTCAAGAATGAGATGGCAATGAGAGCGGCCGTTGGGGCCCAGCTAGGGCACGGGTGTGTTGACATATTCACTAAATATCGTCCCTATTTATAACTTGCATGGATGTTGGCTCTTTGAAGAATAGATTAAAAGTTGCAACAAACTATGAAATCCACGAAATGCTTGAACGTTCATCAAAACATGTCATGTGGTTAGTGTTTTGCAGTGGTGTGTTGAGCCATCCAAAAAGGTGGCAGAAACAAATCAAGCTTGCGGCGTGCGAGTTACTGGAATCTGTGAAGTCCCTAGCGTTCATCAAACTTTGTATTTTGATGATTTTGTGTTTTGAAATCAGACTTTGGATTGTTTCAGAAACAGAAACCTTCCACAAACATAGCAAGATAGATTCCAGATTGCTGGCAGCTCGGGGGATCATTTTCTGAACATTCATCAAAAAATTGATCAATGTTTTGAATGGGAGCTTGGATGGTTGGAAACACAATCCAAAAGGCTGTGATTCACGATTGTGGCAAATTACGGGGTTTCATGACATCATCTCTTCGAACATGAACTACATAATATAATTTGATTAGTGTTTTGACATGGGGTTTGGGAGACAAAACCACCCAAGAAGGTGGCACAATAGATACTGGGACCTTTTCGGAAAAAACCATCCAATAGCAAAAATGGATCCTGCCACTTGGCACCCAGACCAAGTGGTCGCTCTGCAGCACTGCAGCAGCCAGTGGGCAAAATGCGAATCGCACGCGACAGGCCATCACACCCCAAGGATGGGAGCCATGGATTTGTTTTTTCTATGACATTCACGGTAGATGATGGGTGTGAAAATAGAATTGGATAGCGGGAAACCCTATAAAGGACAAACCAAACTGAATGGTGCACGAATATGATATGATTTCAACCATACAGTTGTTTGCAGTAAGATGATTAAACATTTTTCTCTGCACAAATGTTTGCATGTTCAAATTTGACCCTTTGATATCTTTTGAAACCACCATTGCACCAAAGAGCCATAAGGCTTGTGAATTCTACCAAATAAGTATAGTTATAGGCAATTTTTACTCGGTATGCAATTTGTTTTGTATAATCATATCATCAACCGTGGAAAAACCACGTGAGGAAATCACTAAGATGGTCCACCGGGGGTTCTAGCTGGCGTTGGGGATGCAACTGGTTTTAGATGGGGATATCCTGTACGAGTGAATTGGCTAATTATTCAGTTATAAACTAACATAGCTATGGAAAACTGCAGATTGATATGTTATGTTAGTTTATCGGAGGGTAATTACTCAGCCAAATTGATATACCTGTTGAGCATTATATCATCTTATATCCCCATTGAGCGGCTGGTGATGTTTGATTGTCAAGGTCGACATTTGTTGGTAGTCCCTTCGTAGAAACTAGTATCCCAAGAGTACTGCGAGACATACCCCTATATCCCACATAAATTCTGCATGTCATATCCTATTCCTCATCATCAATCCACATCTGGTTGGTGGTTTCAAACATTTTTTATTTTCCATAATATATGGGAGAATCCTTCCCATTGACTCATTGACTAATATTTTTCAGAGGGGTTGATCCTGTAACCTTAAAAAAAGGTGGGCCACAACCCCGTCAACTTCATAGTACATGGTGATTCTATATATACTTACTAAATAGAATAGATTTTGTTTTGCCAAAAAATATGCTGGAAGAAAAATGCCAACTCATGAATGCAGTTAGGGTGCCCCCTTCTTTGGATTTCTCATGGCTGGGTCATGGATATACACCCCGGTAGTTATATTGAATAATACTTTGACGGTTGAATCTTGGTCCGTTCATTTTTAAATATGGACGAATAATGCCAAGGAATTGTTCAAAAGTGGTTAAAAAAACCAATGATACAAATCCTTGGGTCATTAAGGGCCACATTGTGTTTTTAGTCTATATGTGGGAACATCATCGAACATAGGAAAATGTCCCTAATTCGTAACATGGGAAAATGCCCCTAATTCGTACCATATTCTTGATTGTCAAAGGGTATGATATAATTATCATCAATGATATCTTTTTATAATCCCATTAAATCCACTTATATCATTAAATTATGTCTTAGTATAATCCCAATAAAATATGTTTTATCTATAATCCCAGTATAATCACTATTAACTATTATAATCCAGTTATATTCCACTATCAACCCATGCCATTTTGTTGAAACACCAGCTGCCCCCGTAGGCATTCTAATTTGGGATTATAAATATATCTCCCTCTACATGATAGTGGAATATAACTCGTTATATTCCACTATCAACCCATGCCATTTTGTTGAAACACCAGCTGCCCCCGTAGGCATTCTAATTTGGGATTATAAATATATCTCCCTCTACATATGGAATAGCGAGAGGTCTTGCACTACACGTGCATGGGCAACTTACAGTCATTCCAAGACATGAGCAATAGCTGATCAATGTTTTTTGGGAAGGCGTTACGCCTGTTTAACAAATTTTCCCACCCTCCCTCTAGATATGGAACAATGAGAGCTCTTGCAGCACAACACATGCATGCACTGCGCTGCGCAACTTACAGTCACCAATTCCAAGACATGAGCAGTAGCTGATCAATGTTTTTTGGGAAGGCGTTGCGCCTGTTTAACAAATTTTCCCACCCTCCCTCTAGATATGGAACAATGAGAGCTCTTGCAGTACAACACATGCATGCACTGCGCTGCACAAGTTACAGTCACCAGTTCCAAGACATGAGCATTAGCTGATCATCATACGGGAGCTGAAGCAACAAGAGACATCATAACGCTGTCGGAGCACATACAGCTTCACAAAGGACAGCATTAGACCCTTACGGAGAAAATCGAGTGAGGATGCAAGTGGGCGATCATGCTGCCAAACCGTAGATTCGGAGTTTTTCTGGATGTCCGGTTTCGGAACACGAGCGCCGGTAGAAGGATCAACAAATTCTCCTGACGTGTTCATGCCATGGCAAAGGCGAAAAATGGCACCATGCAAAATCCAAAAAGGTGCATCTTTGGTGGAGGTTTCAATTTGGTGATGACACAAAAGTTCAATAAAGGAACCTGTATCATGTGAGCCACGGAGAAAAATTGCAACGGACTGTGACTGGATGTGCGGATGCACTACCATGCCAATCATCCCGTACTCGTCGGCAAGTTCTCGATGGACAGCAATGCCTCCGTACTCATCTGACGCTTCGCAAAGGCACACAATATGGGCCGCATTACGGAACACTAAATGTGGCAATGCACGGTGATTGATATCAGTTCGTACCCATTTTGGAAATTTGGCGCAACCTCCGATATACGGAAGACGGTTGATGTGACCAAGGTTCAAAGTCAAAATACCAAGCTGATACGTGTCCTTCTGAAACTCATGGATGTTCTCCTTAGTGCGCTTGGTAACACCTAGGATTGCTCTCTTACCGAGAAGGCACGATCTGAAGAGTTCCAATAAACGGAGAATCTCTTCTGACTTAAGGTCACCGCCATCAGGGTACTTGAAGAAAGCCTCAGGTCGCCAGATCGGAAGGGGCGTCTGGTCCTGGGCATCAACAAAGTGCTCCTGGAGAGTCGGAATTCGACATCCAAATGGCATTTCATAAATGAATTCCGTATAATCAAAATCTTCAATTCCATGTCGAGCAAAAGATTGAAGGTAAGTGTTTCCAATTGAGCGGCCCTCACGCAGATGCGTGATTAGTTCCGAGAATTTTTCCTGGCGATTTTGAGCATGCTCTCGACGTGTGGCTCCGAAATACGAAGATTCAGCCAGGACGGCATCAACCAGTTCTTCGATGTCGAAAGGTGAGTTGGATGAGCCGATGCTGTCTGGAATAAAGTCGGAGGACAATTCTGAAGAAAAATTAACAATATTATGTTTGCAAGACAAGCCGCAGGTGCGGCATTCCAAGCAGTAGGCAAAGCCACAAGGGTGGCACCAGAACATTGCCTCTGAACATCCACATTCTTCAAAATTCTTACAGCATTGAGGACCCGCAGGGCGAGGAAACCATTGAATTTCTTCCGTGTCCTTTTTAAACTTAGTGAAAAACTTTTGGGCGGCGTCCGCATCGCGGAACAAATCCTTTGCCTGAGCGTTCATTTCACGGCGTCTTCTTGTCTTGACAACCTGTCGGCGGCCGCCCCAGGGAGATGCTGCTTGAAGATCAACTTCAGCGTCAGGATCAACTTGGCCGGATGCTGGATCTGAGCTAGCCGCAGCGGCGGCATCCTTCGGTTTCCTAGGCATAGGCTTGGCCTTAACGGGTCCTTTGGGAGCTTCACTCTCCGAGGCGGAAGACTGCTCCTTGTTTCGCTCTTTGGTAAGATGTTTCTTAAATCGCTCGGAAATTTCTGCCTTGAGGGTTTTTACTCTCTTGTCTGCCTCGGTCTCAGGTGGTCCAAGCTCTTGGTCGTTCGGAGTTGTATTTGTTCGCAGAGGCCTGGCCGGACCGGAATCGGCACTACGAAAACTTTCCAAAAACTTCTTTACAACTGGGAGTTTCTCGATTTCTTCTGCCACATACTCCATATATTCGGAACGTGACCATGTGAAACCATCTTGTTCATTTTCATTCTTCTTCTCCCAGTAAAGTTGGTGGTGGCAGACATGCATGGCAAGGTCAATATTGGAGGTATAATCATTCATTCGCCTTAGCTCGCCCGGTTCCGGTGCAACAAGCCAGGATCGATCGACGAAGGACCAAACACCGCAAAAACGATTGAAAGGCACGGTCTGATCTGTGAGGACATACCGGTTGTGAGTGATCACTGGACCAAGGCCGGTAACGGCACCAGGTCTGGCTATTAGGATGCAGTCTGATTCGGGACGTAATACGTCTCTGATCGTACTGAGTGCAGAGTCAAGAGTGAAATGCACATGGTTCCTTCCACCACGGGTGCTCCCTGGGAGCAAACCTAGTCTTCGGATGGATTCAAGATTTTTCTCGTTCGCTCCATGGATGAGGTACCTTAGTGGGAAAACATCAGGCTTAAATGGGCAATGCTGAATTTCAACCTCAGTGGAATGTCCACTCTCAAAACGGATAAAAATGCTCGCAATGTCGAGACCATCAAGCAGGTCAGCTTGGCTTTCCCTGTTGACCTCATCATCGAAGTCTGCCGGCTTAAACCACGTGTCCGGTATCGGAACAATGCCTGGTTGGAAATCTTCGGTGGTTACATAGCCGATCATGGCCCTGGCTTTATTAGAGTCGCAGATTACGTGGGCCAAGGGCATAAGGAAAGTAACAGTGTTTTCTCTACGTCGGACCTGCATTGAAAGCTCATTAGAGTCAAAATCTTGCAAAAATTTTGGTCCTTCTCGGTACAAAGCGCGAATTTTTCTGGCTGTGCCAGGATGGCTAATAAGCTCATGCAAGGACAATGATCCGTCACGGTGCATTAACTTCGTATGCCGAAAGATATAAGACAAGTGACGTGACATGGTCTCAAAATGGCTATCCGCTAATGCGGAATCATGGTCCTCTTTGGTCTTGATACCGGATTGCTTTCTGAGGACCTGAGAAATGCACTCAGCAAAAATGCGGCTGTTCGACTGCACAGAGTCAAGAGGCGCGCCGAATGCATCGTCTATGACCCTGCTACGAGATTCGTAAGTCCGGGTGTCGCGATTTTGCCTTCTGTCTGGATTACCGCCACGCGGTGTGTGTTGTGGACGGTTGCCACGAGGACTACGAAAGCCACGTGGTGTGTAATCCGCAGAGGCGGAATGATCTGCGCGGC